GGGTAAGGGGTGGGGACACTGGGCATGCTGTTTGCACAGGGAAGAACCTCGGGCAACCCTAGGCAGCTCCTTGAAGTGGGGGGACTATAGGTGAGGACCCCGGGACATAGAGTTATACATACCCCCCCAGAATGAGGCCTGACTGAGTCCAGGCAGCCTGGCTCCTGAGACCCTGCTCTTAAGCACACTGCCCACCCCCCACCCCACCCCAGCTTGAACCTTCCGCTTCTCAGTCATTTATTTAACAAACACACCAGTGATGAGAAGTTCTGGAACACTGTTTTGAGTACTGGGCATGAATGAAACTCATTTAAGCTTGCAGACACTCCAGCTACTATTAGCCCCTCATACAGATGAAGAAACTGAGGCACAGAGCAGTCACTTCAAAATAGCCTGCCGCTCTGCTCCTCTCCCTCCTGCACCCACTCCTCCCTGGCCTCCCTGCCATTGATCATCCTCCATCTAGTCCCCAAGCCACAAATCTCCTCCATCCCAGCCAGAGAAATCCTTGTAAAACCCCCATTAGATTCCATCTTTCCTGGACTCAGAGCTGTCCGATGGCTTCCGTTATGCCCAGAGTTAAAGCCCAAGAGCTCAGTGACCGCACTCAGTGGTCCCCAGCTTTGCTGCCCTCCCCACCAGGGACACTATTGCCAAGACACACCCACACAGCACCCCATCTCTCTGCCCATCTCGGCTTGTTTTGCTGTCGCCACCAGACATATCACTGTCCAGAATAACAGTTCTCTCCTACTAAGGTACAAGTTTCCCCGGGGGCAGGCATCATTGTCTCTTTGGTCACTGATATATCCCAAGTCCCTGAAAAGGTGCCGAGGAAATAAATGTTTAGTGAATTAATGTGTGAGCTTGTCCTTGAGCACCAGCTGATTAATGGTGGGGCTGGGAAGTTGGCTCTGGAGTCAACAGTCAAGCCCTCAGCATGCTGCCTGGGTGCTGAGCTGCCACCTCGGCCACAGGCCAGGCCTTGGGGCAGTGTCCAGGTCCCTGACCCAGTGCGTCCCTGGAACAAGGCTGCTGGTCGTCTGGGAGTCTCACACTGCCACAGAGGGCCTGACCCTCCCACTCCACCCCTGGGCGGTGGCACTGGGTCTTGTCTAGCTGAAACCCTGGCCATCCATCTACAACCTGGACAGAAGGGGCCTTCTCCTCAAATGCAGATCTGATGAGGTCTTTACCCTGCTAAAACACCTTCAATAGCTCCCTGTTGCCCTTCAGATAAAGTCTAGGTCTCTGTGTGATTTCAAAAGACCTCTCTTTCCCAGCCCCTGCCTGCTGGAGTCACCTCCCACCATGCCTCGCCTTGACAATCCTCACTAGCCATTCTCCCCGCTGTGCTCTGTCCTCCTTGCTAGGTGCTTCCTTTGAGGCTTGTTCAGATATCTCCAGAGCCTTCCTAGGCAGCTAATGTGGGTGCCCCTGGGCTAAGGTGGGTGCCCCCTGAATTTGCATAAGCCCCTGTAGCCCGGCATAGTATTTATTACATTGCATGGTGATGACCTGTTTGTCTTGGTCATGAGAGTTGCATGAGGTCATGGAAGGGGTCCCCAGCACACCCAGGGCCTGGCACAGAGGATGCTTAGTATATTTAAGTGAACAGACACCCCTACATCAATAAGACTGCTGGGCAGAAGCTGCTGTATGGACCGGGAGGCTCATGAACACATCTCGTGCAAAAATTGCACACTGAATCCTCTTTGCAGACAACTAGGCCAGCGTCCAGCCGGACAGAAACCACTTAAAAATTCTGGAGTGAAGGTCAAGCATCACAGAGCTCCAGGCAGCTGTTAGCCCATGCTGGACTGAAGCCTGGGAGTGGGAGGGCTGGCTACCAGGTGGCCCCCCAGAGGACCTTGTGTGGCAGAAACCGTGGTAGTGCAGCTGGGTCCTCTGACCTCCGCCTACTGTACCTCAGCCCCTGGCCCACCCCGATGGAGAATCTGCTGGTGCATCACTTTATCTGCTAAGTGCTCTCGCTAAACACTCCTCGAAGAGCGCCCAGATGGTACCATTCCTCATTACAGTGATTCTGGGGCAGCAGGGATGGGAAGGGGCTGGCTTTAGAACACAGACATGCCTCACTTTACCCAAACATGCACATTTCAAGGGTCTCCTCCTTGAGAGTGGGTACTAAGACCCAGGCTCCTGAGTTCCAGCCAGAACTTCAGATCCAGTGGCCTGGAGTCTCCACTCTGCAGTGCAAGAGGCAATGTGGTGGAGAGCGCCTGCTCTTGGTACCTTCTCTGTGGGGGGCGGGGTGCTTACCTTCCTGTGCCTGCAGAGGGATCTGGGAGGCAGCTGACTTGGTGCTGTTCTTGCTCTTCTTGCTGCCCTGGCTGGCCAGAGATGGGTGTGTCTGCAACTTCCGGTGGGCCTTGGGGCCCCCCAGGGCACCGTTCCCAGACCGCTTGGTACTGCCCAGCTCTGAGGAGTGGCCAGAGCCGTTTGCCAGTAGTGGGGTGCAGCCCAAGGGGTTCCCCTGAGGCTGGCCTAGAGAGATGAGAGAAAGTAATGGAGAAAGGGTGGGCTCCACAAGCTTCCCAGAGAGCTAATCATGTCTGCCTGGTTCTGAAATATTCCATGGGGGTCCTAGCCAGACTTGCATTCTGCAGGTGGGGAAACTGAGGCCAGAGGCACACCTTAAAATAGCAGCAGGGTTGGGTCGGATTCCTGACTCCCAGATTTAGAAAAGACAGAGAGAGGTGCCAGGCAAGGGGTGGAACTCAGAGCATGGAACCCCACCTTCTTAGCCACTAAAACCCATTCTCCAGGCCCTTCCTGGTGGTGCAATGGGTTAGGTCGCAGCCCTGCAAGCTGGTCGCAGCCGCTTCAGTGTGAGTTCAATCCCCAGAGGTGATCCACATGGGGAGCAGACCCCTCCTGAGTGTACTTCGTTGATCTGCCTGTTCTGCTCCCCACTCTGTCTCTGGTGAGCCTCTCACCACCCCTGCACCTCTGGCCTGTACCCCAGTTCTGTATGCATAAATAAATAAATCTTAAAAAAAGAAATCCAATCTCCTGCTTTTGGAGACCTGGGATTTGCACAGCCTGATGCTGGTGGAATGATGGTGAGGCTGGGTTGGGAGGACAGCAGTGAAGCAGTTAATCTTCACTCAGTCCTCTGCCAAGCCCCCAGCTGTTTTTGCCCTTCCTGCGCTGGGTGATTTATTGGAAACATCTGTTTGGAGATGAACGCCCTGGTCTTGGAATCCAGGGGCTCCTCACCGCAACCCCCTATCTTCTGCTCCTGCGTCAGCTCCCTCACCCCTGCTCTGTTGGGAGACAGGCAAGAAGAGCCTGGTGAAGGGCCTTTGGCAAACCGGGTGTGGAGGGAAAGAAGGGAAGAAGGAGGACCGCAGGGAGATCCCCAAGGCTAGGAACCCCGAGTCCTCATCTAAGGCTGCAGGACCAAACTTCAGCTTTATGAGTGGGATGCCAAGAAGCTGGTCTTTCGGAGGTGCCCCCAAACACCCAACGCCTTCCTCTCTTTGCTCAGGTTTTCTCACCTGGACAGCACAGTTCTGGTCTCAAGAGATGAGAACAGGTGTGTATGTTTGGAGGAGAGGACCAAGAAGGGGTCACAGAGCTCTGGGACACTTCAGCTGCTCAGGGCCCCTGACTCCCAGAAAGGACCTTCTGGCCTGATGACCTCTGTAAAGAGGGGCTCATCAATCTTTTAGGCCTGGGTTCTGATCCCCAATTTCTTCTGGGCCTGTCACTGTGTTTGAATTGTGGAAGGCTGAGCTACCTTGGGGGTGGGGAAGCTGGAGGCCTAGGAGACAGGAAGGTGGCCTCAGCACTTCCCTGGCTGAGGGGCCTGGCTGAGGGGCCGAGTCTTCTCCTAATGGGGGTGGGCTCATGTGGCCCTTGCTACGTGCCAGCTCCTGCTCCCAGCACCTCACACCCTGATTATCTTCTCACTGAATATTCTATGTTTCTCTGTAGGGCAGTTGCCTCCTTTTACCCCCAAGGAAACTGAGACACAGAGAGGTTCAGCAACTTGTCCAAGGACACACAGCCAGGATGCGGCTGAGGTGGGACTAACCGGGAGGCTAAAATCTGGGACTCACGGGACAGACAGGCAAGTGGGGGTAGGAGTTGGGAGACAGAGGCCTGCGAAATAAGCCACTGCCATCATGGCAATCGCCACTCTTATAATTAGTAGCTTACATGTTCTGAGTGGCTACTACTTACCAGGCACAGTGCGAAGGGCTCTGTGTGCAGTGAGTTCTCAGAGGTGGCACTGTTGGCCCCATTTCACAGATTTAAAGTCTTTGGCCCAGAGGTTAAAATTTGCCAAAGCCAGGAGGTGGTGCAATGGGTTAAAGCTCTGCACTATGAAGCTCTCAGAAGTCACTGCAGCATGAGTTTGATCCCCAACCAGGGAGGTGGCCCACCTGGTGCAGCAGACTTCTCCTGACCTGCCTGCTGCTACCTCAGCAGTGTATTTCTGCTCTGTTCCCCGCTGTGTCTCTGGTGACTCCTCTCACCCACCACACCTCTGGCTTGGACCCCAGTTCTGTAAGCATTTAGAAATAAATCTTAAAAAAAAAAAATTGTCAAAGCCTCCATAGCTAGGAGGTGAAGGAGTTGGGGACGGAGAGGAGTAGAAAGGAGACAGGACAAGTGGAGGTTTGGGGGATCGTGGGGGTTGGGCATGCTCCGGAGTGGCTCCATGCCAGGAGCCTGTGGCCCTGAGGCGTGGCTGGTGCCAGCATCTGGGTAAACAGGGCTCAGGCCATGGGAAGTGGCCAGGCCTGAATCATCCTGCCCTCGCCTCTTGGACCCATGGAGGGTAACTGGACTGAGGCCTTGGCCAGCTTGGGTGCCCCCTGCCCTGCTACCTAAACACAGGCCCCATAGCGGAGGGTAGGAGTGCGTGGTGAGCCGAGGGCCTGGGGGTGTGGGCAGACACAGAGCGCGCCTGTGGCCACAACCATGGGGTGGCCGTGGTAGCTGAGTCACAGAGCAAACACTCGGGGCCCACAGACACAAGGAGCAACTGTCCACCTTCCATCAGGGCCCTCCTGGTGGCCAGGCCACTGACCTCTTTCTCTCGATTCTGCTGGTGGGTGTGTCTGAGTAGGCTGAGCGCAGTGCACTAGTAGGGTTTGGTAACTGACTTCCAGGGAGTCCAACTTAGCCCCAGATGCCCTGGCCCTGGCCAAAGGCGGTTCCCCGCTCGGTCATGCCAGCTGGGCGGGCAGGCATGGGAGAGAGCACTGGGTCAGGACACCTCGCTCCCCAGCTTGAGTCTGGACCAGCTGTTCTGCAGGCCTCGGTTTCCGTGTCCGTGAAGTGGGCCTGGCAATTGCTATCCTGCTGTCTCATGACCTGCTGATTTGGGGGGAAAGAAAACTGGGACATGCACATGTGTCTCTAGAGTTTGCAGGTCTTGTCAGTCGTGACAAGAGGATTCTGGCTGCCCCTTCCCCTGCTCTCCATGGTGAAGAAGCCTCTCCTTCCCGGGATATCCTTGGAGACCTTGAGTTAAACCTGGGAATGGAGCTGCGTTTTGTTCCTTTCTGCCCACAGCAACTGCCCCATGCTTTCCTGGCCTGACCCCTGTTGCCTGGAGAGTGTCCACATTTGCACAGCCTGACCACTTTGTGCACGCAGGTATTCCTAGACAGGAAGGAACTGACCTATCACATGCTTTTCCCGTGCCTGCCCCCCGCGAGGCCAGCCCAGCGCCAGGCTCCCAAGGGCACCCACGGCATTTCTGCCAGCCCATCTGGGCTGAATTCCCTAGAGCACCCTGACATGTTGCCATCCTACCCCCCAACCCCCTAGGACTCACGTGTCACAGCTTCTGTGGAGACATCGAGGTCAGTGCTGTCCGGGCCCTGGGGAGCCCCGGAGCCATGGCCTTGGGGCATGGGGGTTGCCACCTCCTCCAGTGAGCCCTCCTCTAGTCTTGCCTCCACAGCATGAGAGGATTCTGCAACTACCTCCTGCCCAGGCAGGAGGGGTGGGGTCTGGGCTAGGGAAAAAGCAGATGGCAGAGGGATATGTTCCTGGTGCCCTTCTGTTTGCCCAGCCACCGTCCTCTTCCCACAGCCCAGGACGCCTGGGGCCCTCGTTCTTGGTCTCTTTGTACCAGTTACCCAGCCCTCACCCTCCCTGGCAATAGTGCCAGATTCTAAAATAGATGCTTCCAAAGCACAGCCTGTGAGTGAGCAAGGGTGTGTGAGTGTGTGCCCCGTGAGTGGTGTCAGGGAGAGGGCCAGAGCTGCGCGGGATGAAGGCCGTGGGGAGAGAGGCAGGAGCCCAGTGTGGAGGGCAGAGAGGGACGGTCAGCGATGGAGAGATAGATAGGCAGCAGCGTGACAGCGAGAGAGAAGAGAATCGTGGGGGCCGTGAAAGGGAAAAGCAGAGAGATAGCACATCGGGAGGTGGGAGATTGGGCCTGCAGGAGAGAGCCACAGAAGGCAGTGACAGGCAGCCTGGACAGGGGGGGGCTCGGCAGGAGTGAGAGTCAGCGATGGGAGGAAGATAAGGACGGGTCAGCGCAGAGGCATGAAGAAGGGAGCCGATGCCTATAGAGCGGGAGGGAGGCAGACAGGGAGAAACTGGGTCAGAGAGAGAGCAAGACAGCAAGAGGCAGAGAGAGGAACCGGGATGTGAGTAGAAGAATCAGGTCTGAGGCAGGGGGGCTGCAGGCAGGAAGAGAGACAGGGAGCCAGCCTGAGCGGGCTGGGAAGAGACGGACCGCAGCCGCGTGTAATTACAGGGCCTGGCTCAGCCCCTCCATGCCGGGTGGGCGGAAGGCAGAAATGGAGCCACCTTCGAACCCACAGCTCCTGCGGGCGGCCGGACTAGGGCCCCTGGGCCCAGGGGAACAAGTGAGGTGGGAGGGGTGGAGGAGACAGAAAGGGGCCAGGCTCCCACAGTCAACGGGTGTGGGGAGGCCGGAGGGGGTGCAGGGAGCAGGGAGGGTGATGCCAGGGATCACAAGGGTCAAGGCCAGGAAATTATGGGGTGTGGGGTGCAGTTGGGTCTCATCAGATACCAGGCCCTATAGGCAGAGTGACAGGGCCTTGAGCGCGTGCATCTGACACCACATACCTGACACACTGGGAACAGGAGAGAGCTGGAAACAAGACACAGAGACACGAGACCAAAAGGGCCTAAGGGAAGGAAGAGTGACAGAGAGGGAGACAGAGAGAGATGAAGAGAGAGAGCAGGGAGCCCAGAGAGTAAAGGACAAGCAAGCCCACCAGCCCCCGCTGCACGAAGAGGCCACTAGTGAGATGCACCCAGGGAGACGGGGACAAAGATTAGGTCTGGAGACAGAACCAGCCCAGCGAACAGGGGGGTTTGTATCACACGGTGTCCTCTGAACTGTCTGCAACTGCGCGTGTGTGCATGAGTGTGTGTGTGTGAGAGAGACACACACAGAGAGAAAGGGAACAGAGGAAAGAGTAATTAGAGGGGTCAATTAATGTGAGACATGCAGGTAGGGGGAACACCCCAAGGGGACCATCCCATGGCTCATTTGCCTCCCTGGGCCCTGAACCTCCTTCAGTGACCACTGATCTTTGGAACCCCTCAGCAATCCTGTTCCAAAGACCCTGGCCTCTTCTAGCTGGACGGGGGTGGGGGGGGACCCAGAGGGTAGCACTGAGGGTGTGGGAGGAGTGGGCATGCCAGCGCCGCCCCGGGAAAACCACAGGCCCTGCTTGGAGACAGGAGCTGGGTCAGGGAGGAGAGGCAGCAGATGGTGTAGGGGGCCGCTCAGGCTCCTACTACTCTGGGGAGGCAGAGGCGGTTTCTCCCCCAAGTCCCCCTGCTCTGTGGGCCTGATGAGCGCCCCTCTGCTGCCTGGGGTAGTGAGAGAGAACCAGATACCTTCTGGGTGGCCACTCAGCTAGGACCCTGGGAGCAGGCAGGTGCAGTGCCACAGGAGGAAGAACCATGTGGCGTGCCACTGGCACCTCTCCTTGCACTCAGCTTGGTCCTGGCACCACTCAGACACCGCTCTTGAGGGCCAAGACCAAGCTGACCTTAAGAAAGGAGGCTCAGGGCGGGCGTCCTAACTCACAGCCCCCGCCTCCAGTCCCCAGAGGGATGACCCTGAACATGACGCGACCTTTCCAGGGGAAGAAGCTATCTCGGCCAGCAGCCAGGAGGTCCCAGCTTCATCAGTTACCAGCTTGGGCAGGTGACCAGCACTCTGGTTACCTTGTTGGAAGGCAGGTCCTAATGCTTCCCCCCCAGGGTTTGCTAAAGTAAATGAAATGCTTTGCGGTGCTGAGCAGAGTCCTAGCATCATGCCGAGGGTCACTCCTAAGCTCCTTCCCTCCCTTCAGTCCTTTTTGGTGTAACATTCACTAAGCAGCATGACGCCCTCAGCATATGTCAAGCACAGGCTAGATCAAAATGAGAGGGACCAGGTCTCTGTCTGAGCAGTGCTCTGAGGTGCGAGGGGAGGACATTTATGAGTACTAAGGGGTGAGGGGGCAAGATTTCCAGAAGGGACATCTATAAACTGGAAGCGAGGCTCATCTCTTGACCTCTTGGAGGTGTGCATGTATGTGTGTGTATGTTTAAGGAATTTCCTGGTAAAGCAATGTCTACAAAGAAGGGGACACTTGGGGAGGGGCGGCGGACGGCGGCCCCCGGACCCCCCGGTTGGTTTTGAAGGAGGGGGCGGGTTGGCCTTTTGGGGCCCTTGGGGGGTGTACCCCCAGGACAGCTAAGGCACAACAGGTCTTCCCAGGCCTTCTCCTAAGATTACCAGGGCGCACAGGGGTGACCCTTTCAGTCCTGCAGTGAAGGCACCCAGCAGTTGTCTGAGTGCCTAGGGTATAGTGGGGAAGATGAGAAAGAGGCATTGGGACGCTGGTCCCCATCTCTGGCCCTCACCCCAAGTGTCACCTCTCCAGGCAGCCTCTCTTAATAGTCACCTATGGGGGCTGATGACCTTGAATCTGGTGGGAAGAACAAAGTAGAAAGAGCAGGGACTAAGTCCCAAGGAGGGCCCTCCTGCCGGGAAGCTGCCACTGTGGGTGAGCAGTTTCGGGCAGGAAAGACCATCCAGTCAGCCATCTCGGCCTTGAAACACAGGTGCAGGCCTCCCAGAGCCAGGTGGGGCTGCAGAGGGCAACCAGCAGATGCCCTTCTGTGGTGGCCACCTTGAGGGCGAGAGGAAACCCAGCGGAGCGCCCAGATGTGGAAAGCACAGTGAGAGGTATAAGAGATAGCAAGAGCTGGTCTACAGGTGAGATACTTCCCGCCCAAGAGCCTCCACCCCCAGGCCCAGATGCTGGACCAAGAAATGGCTCTTGCTAAGGAACAGGTGGAGCACAGGTGCTCGACCAGAGACCCAGAGTCCAGCACTTCTCATGGTCATGAGACCCTGCTGACCAATCAGAGAGGTAAATATCTAAGCAGCAGCTGAAGGGAAGGGAGGCCGGCAAAGGCGAGGGCTGCTGTGTGGAAGTGCAGCTTGTGTTTCCTACAAGGCACCTTTGGCAGGGGGGCTGGAGTGCTAGGGGGCCCTGTCCGAGGCACCCTCTGCTCACCCAGCTCAAACCTGCTTTGTCGGACCGTTGGCCACAGGACCCCCTACCAGAGCATGGGGTCTTAGCAGAAGCTATATTTCTCCCCTCCAGGTCCCCATCCTCAAGGGGGAATGGAGAAAGGCAACATTTCCCCCCATTTCCCTGATATGCTCTCACCCCCAATACAAGATAAGGTCTGGAAAGTCAACCCTGAGAGGAGCGAAAAAGCCGTGTTCAGATCCACCCATTTGACGGGTGGCCCAGACTATTGCTGCCTCAGCAGGGAGCCTGTGGGCCCCCTCTGCCTGCTGTCCACTTAGCTGAGGGGTGCTCCTGGCCTGTGAAGGAATAGGGAGAACTCTTCCAGGTGGAGTGGGTCACTCCGAGCCTGGAAAGTGCCCGTGGGGGTTCAGCCAACTGGTCGCTGACTAGTGGACAGAGGCCCATGTCTGCTCCCTCGGCCCAGGCCTGGCCAGCATCTTTGCGGACAGTGGGTCAGCTTCCCCCCTGACAGCTCTGGAGAAAGAGGGCCAGGCGTGAGCTGCCCGAGGGTGGCACCTGGAGCTCCATGCTCCAGTCTCTCTTGGTCTGGTGTTCCAAGTCTCAGCCTACATCTGCAATCTAATTAACGGACAGTTTGCTTCTGAATCTGGAGCAAAGTGACTCTCTGTGGCCCCAGAGCAACCTCAAGTCAGCAGAGGGTGAGAGGCGAGACGGAAGATTGGGGTGGCACCTGGCCCCAAATCCCAAGTAGAAAGTAGACCTGATAGGTGCACACCTGCACACTGTTCACAGTCCCAGACCTCCGGGCTGAGGGCTGGAGAGGGTCTGAGCTGGCCTTTTAGGCTGGGTTGGTTGGTTTTATTTTAGTTCTGACGGTTCCAATTCCCCAGGAAATTCAATTTAGAACCAAGAGCAGGAATGCGACGCCCCAGTGCTGGGCAGAAATCTGCTGTGGGTTAGGGAGCCAGGCTTCAGGGGCTCTCAGGGCTGGGTGGGGAGGAGAACACTACCGAAGCCAAGGGTGTGGGGGCTGGGCCTGTGCCTCCACCAGAATGGCCCTGAACCTCCCCGCACCTATTTGGGTCTTGGGAAGCTGAGGGAGGGGCTGGCTGGCTCCAGGCCCAGTCAGCAGGGCCCGCAGGGGCAGCACCCAGGCCTTGCTGTTCTGTCAATGCTCAGCATGGAGCGTGGGGGATTCTGGTCTTGGATTCAGGCGTCTGTGGGGTTTTGGCTGGGTCTCCTGCGGTTTGGGCTTCCTGGGCAGCAGGCTCATTCTCCCAAGGCCTCCTTGTGTTATGAAAGCCACATTGTCTGGCCCAGCCCAGGCTGGGGAGGGGGCTTGCTGGGGCTGGGGGCCTCGGGTTACAGCCCAGGGCTTAACCCTCCCAAAGGCACACCCAAGCCCTGACTCCTGCCTGGGGTACTTCACTCCTTCCTCCCCCACTTGGGGCTCTGGATAGGTTCTATGGGGAGGGGATCTTGGGAGGAGTTTGAGGAGGGGAGCCCAAGGAAATGGATAAGAACAGGAGGAAAGCAGGAAAGTGGGAGGCTGGGAAAGAAGCAACAGGCCCAGAAAGAGGCTGGGAGTCAGAGAGAAGGTCCCCAGACACACAGAAAGCGCCTTTCCAGCTCCCTACCCTAGATCTCTTTCTGGACTGGAAGAGCCCAAATCTTAGAGCTTATTCCACAGAAGTCCCGGGCTCCAGCAGCCCCCACAGGGAGTCTGCGGGGTGGAGGAATGTACAGCAGACCCATTAGTTGCTATGTGCTGGCCCCGGACCAGGCTTCACCCCTGTATCTTCACTCTGGTTCAGGGGCCCCTGTCGTACCTCACAACCCTGAGTGGCCACAACAGCAGCCACCTTAGGTAGACTTGGGGTGCTGAGACAGGTCTCTCAAACAGGTAGAGAAGCCCAATGGGCAGATGTGGAGACTGAGGCGGAGGAGGGAAGGTACTTGTCCCAGGCCATGCAGGGAGTTAGTGCCAGGGGTCCAGGCCCAGACAGTCCTGTTCAGAGAGGAGAAAGGGCGAGTGGGGGAGGGGCGAGGAAGGCAGAAGAAAGCCGTACAACAGAGCAGAGATTAAAGTCCTGAAATCCCCATTGTGCTCCTGAACAAATCCTACATGTTGCTGACTCTCCTGGAACTTGTCTTCCGCAGGAGGCTCAGTTTACACTTCTGAATGGTGAGAAGGATGAAAGAGAAACGCATGGGGCCTTCAGGGCTCAGGGCGGACCATCCCTCTGGGAGTCAAACCCTTCCAGGGCTGGGAGGCTCCCAAAGGAATCTCTGGGAGGTTACGGACCCTCTGCGTTGGGGGAAGGGCAGGGCATTTCAATGGGGTCGTGGGCACTTTGGCTGGGGATGGGGGTGGGTGGGTGTGGAAAGAGGTGGGAGGTGGGGAGGGAGGGAGAGCGAGCGACGAGGGCCCGCAGGGCAGGAGCCGAGGGGACTGCCCAGGCCCCGGTGGGGAGGAAGGCGAGCCAGACGCGAGGGCAGGGAGGGGCGGGACCGGTCCTGCAGCCGCTCGCGCTCGCGGAGGACAAAAGTTTCGGGAAGCGCTGGGCTCTGCTTGAGTTGGGGGAAGGGAAGGAAAAACTCAGACACCCCTACCCCCGTCTGAGGCCCCCATAAATATTTACACACTGGGCAGAAACGGTCTGGACACAGATCCCAGACGGACAGACAGACACTGCTGTGTGTGTGTGTCTGGTGCTGGGAGTGGGGAAAGAGTTGGAGCCAACTTGGCACAACAGCCACCTCCGTTGGGGCCCTGCCCCCATCCCCCAGCCCCCCACTCTCCTTGAACCAGGTCCTGGATACCCAGACTCCTAGCTCCCACCCGCAGCCAAGCTCCCCGGAACCGTCTCCCCAAGTCCCTTGGAGAAGGGGGAAGAATTACCACCCTCCCACTCCCAGCCGCCAGCCCAGCTCCGGTCCAGCCCTGCTTTCCACCCCAGATCCTACCTGGGCCCGGGTCTGCAGAGGAGGCTTCATGGGGCGCGTCGCAGTGAGGGGGGCTCTGGCCACTCACCTGGGACATCGGCCTGGGACCTGCCGAAAACAGGGCTCAGCAGGGGGGGGCCAACTCCCCCCCTCCCGCGTGCGGGGGGAATGGGGACTTGCGGTGGGGATCTGGCGACAGATGCGCTCCTACCCCTTTTCCAGCCCGGCCACCGACTAACTTACTCGTGCAAGCTGCTCGTTACTCTCTCGCCCAGCGGGGTCACCGCGCAGGGCCGGCCATGCGCCCCAGGTGCAGGCGCCCAGCCGAGGGGCCACTAGGCTCCGCGGTGCCCGCCCGGCGCCCCCTCCCCTCTCACTGGCTCCTTTCTCCCATTTCGGCGCCAGCTCGCCCCGCTCGCCCCCTTCCTTCTTCCTTTTCTCCTCCAGCCCCCTCGCTCCTCCCCTGCTGGCCTCTCCCCACCCCTCTTCCGTGGCCCACCCTCTCCCCGCCCCTTGCCTTCCCAGTCACCCCCCCCCCCCCGCAACTACGTCCCTTTTCCCCCCAGCCCGGCTCAGCCCAGTCCGGACACGTCTGTCCGCGGGGCGCAGCGGCCAGAGCCCCCACAGGAAGCCGACTCGGCCTGTTTCCTCCGCGCTCTCAGAGCAGGGCCCCAGTCTCCCCAAACCTCCTCCCCCAACCCTCTGCCCCAGGCCCGACTCCACACCAGGCTGCAGAGCCGGGATGCACATTTCCTTTCACCAGTCCTAAACTCTGCAAAAGTTGGCGGAAAAATCAGAACAAGAGAAAGCGACCGCCGTGACCACAAACACCTCAGGCAGATTGTCTGCATAATTGTGGCCCCCAAAGTCTCATCCCAAAGATGGGAGTGCTCCAGTCCTTCCCGCACGCTTTGCCCATCCTCTGGGTCTCAGCTGGGGCTAAGCCGGTGTCCCAAGCCTGGGCTCAGGGGCCTCAGCTCACCGGGACAGAAGTGTCCCTCTGAGAAGACCCCTTACCCAAGTACCCAGACTCCAGTGCCTCAGAGAAGCCCTCGTTCCCCCCCAACCCCCCCCCCACCTACCACGTGCGCGGGAATTTGTGTCTAAAAACCAACTTTGGAGGCAAAGAGAGGTTCTGAGTTCTGTCCTTTAGGTCCCACACTGAAACCCGAGGTCTTCGAAGTTGTGGGTTCGAGGAGAAAGGGAAAGGGGGGGAGCTTGGCGGCACATCTGGAATTGTGAGTTGGGACCCTCCTAAAGGCCGCGAGGGTAGGAATCAGCCTGGCCAGGCATTCAGTCGGAGGGGTTTCTAGGGCCCTCGGCGTCACCCCGGGGGGGCCGGGTGCCCGAGAACCCGGGAGGGTGCAAAGCTTGCAAGCGCCCAGTGAGGCTGGGCTGGAGTGGGGGTGGGGCGATCCTCAGGTGGGGCCCGCCCTCTGGGTGACAGCGTCTCGGCCACTCTTCACCCGGGCCGCCTCGAAGCCGCGTCTGGGCTCCGCCGCCAGGGCCAGCAAGCAATTAAGGAGGCGGCTGCGGCGCCAGGCCAGTTCTTCTAGTCCGCCTTCCAGCTCCGGCTTGAAGCTGGGGGCTGGGAGCGGGGGTTCGAGCAGGGGACTCGGGCTTCGCCTCCGCCCTCCCCACCCGCCTCAGTCGCTACTTACCGCGATGGCAGTTCCTCTCGGCACCGTCGGGGCCAGGACTGCGTGGCCCCCAGGGCGCCGGTCACGCTCTCGCGGCGGGTGACCAGGTGACTGCGGCCGGAAGAAGGGGCCCGGGCCGGGAGGAGGGGGTCCTGCTCCCAGGGCCGGGCTGCCTCTGCCCGGGCCTGGCCTGGCGCCCCGGGAGCCAGTCCCGATCCGACTGCTGTCTGGGCGCTCTGGAGAGAGGGGCGGACTCCCCTTTCCTGGCAAGGGCTGAGTCACCGGGACGCGCCCGCGCCCTGGCTTGGGACAGCTGCATTCTTACCAGCTTACCTGGACCTGAGGGTTGGACTTCACCACCACCAAGGGCTGGGAATGGGGTGTCAGTGCTGGGAGGGTGGACTTTGCTTCCAAGGAGTCACCACCTTCCCTAAACACAGGCCCAAGTTCTGAGCACTTAGCACTTCAACTCCAGACTGTCAGTCACTATCCAGGGCCCCTAAACTCTACATCACTCAGTTCCCCAGCCTTACTGTCCCAGGTGACTTGTCTCATGGTAAAAATTCTCTGAATTTGGTCCAATACTAATATGTCTGGTTTGTTGGAAATGTACAGTGTGCTTTACATTTAATCCCATGTGCTGGTTATACAGGTGTGTTCAGTTTGTGAGCCTTCAGCCTGTGGAACATTTACATGCACTTTTTGTGTGTGATTCTTATACTTGAATAAAAAGTTGAGGAAAATCAAAACATAAAAGTCAACATTCCCTGTCAGAGGGTGGGGTGAGAGGGTCAGGCTCTGGTTGGGTGGTCTGGGGCTCCACAGCCCAGGTCCACCATCCTGTGTTTCCTTGGGGAAGTCCATTCACTTCTCTGAGCCTCGGGTGGAATGAACATTGGGGTCCTCAATATGGCTGGTCACTGTTATCCAGAAACAGGCCTAAGGGGAGGCGAAGCACCCTCAGGGGTACAAAATTTAAGAGGTGCCAAGGTAAGTAATGATTTAATCAAATATTTGAAGGAACAAGCCAGAAAATTACATCCCTGCCACCCAGGTTCCTATTTTTTATAAATAAAGTTTTATTGGAACCAGTACTAGGATTAGAATGAAATCAATGAGAAAAAATTGTGCAAGTTCAGGATGAGATTCTCTCTTTATTTAACATATTGGCATTTTGCCCAAAAGTAGATGACTGGATTAAAAAGATATGGTACCTATACACAATGGAATATTACTCAGCAATCAAAAAGATAAACACATGCCTTTTGCAGCAACATGGATGGAGCTGGAAGGGATCATGCTTAGTGAGATAAACTAGAAGGAAGAGGAAAAATACCCAAGGTTTCACTCATAGCAGGAGGATAAATGACCAGGGGAGAAAATAAGAATAATAATGAACAACTATATACCAGAGACATTTTACCAGAGGTGGAGTGGGGAGTAGGATCAAAAGTGGGGGAGGGGTAAGTGCACTGGACGATGGTGACTGGACGATGGTGACCGCACTCGGGCGAAGCCCACGGGGATTACAACTGAGATGGAAAAAGGCACAGAATGATGTAAAAATAAACTATTATATTATTTTTAAAAGTGAAAAAAAATTGGCATTTTGTTCATCATGCATTTTTTTCATTAATTTATATTTTTAGAAATGTTGCAGGCAAAAATTGTTGACCTTAATTACCAAGTTTCTGATGCCCCTCTTTGAACCTGAGCCAAGTGTCTCATTCACTCCCGTCTCTTCCCTCTTCCTATCCCTGAAGGACCTACTTAGGACGCCAGGGTAAATGTGTGGAGCTTGAAAATGCCCCTGCCTCATTTAGTCTGTGAACCCATGTCTAGGCCTGGGGCCCACTGATCAGTTCAGAGTCACACAAAACCGTTACAGTCATTGCTAGGCTCCCTGAGCTGTCCTTGGCTTTCATCTCCCCTCACTCACTCCCTTCCAGACTTGCTACTTCCTGAATTTGTTTTTTTCAACTTGCCTCAGGACCTGTGCACTTGCTCTCCCCTGCTCAGAAGGTGCCTCCTCTACTCACATGACGCCTTCCTCCTTTCCTCTGTTTACATCACTTTCTCAGAAAGGCTATCCCAAACCTCTTTTTCTCTCTATCACCTTATACTACTGTAATAGTTGTCATAGACCTTTTCACCACTTTTCCTGCTTTTTATTTGTTTGTTTATTGGTAGGCTGAAAGCTGCAGAAGAGCAGGGACTTAGCCTTGTTTGCCAGCACATTCCCTAGAATCGTGACTGCCACAGAGAATTCAGTAAATAGTTCCAGTTGCACAGACGGGCAAACAAGAGGCCAGAGAGGGGAAGGGGCTAGTATTTATGAAGCCTCAGGTTTCCAGACGCTCAACTCAGTTGTGTTCTCACACATCCTCCTTGTACCCCCTTGTCCCATCTTATTCTCATCCCCCACTCTGGAGCCTTTCAGGCAACAAAAGCGACAGTGACCCTGTACAAGTCTCCCATACATGCCTTTCCACACAGTGCCCTCACAAGGCCTGGCCTGGATCCAGCCCCAGCGTCCAGCAGGCCAGCACAGCTCTTCCTGGCTTCCTGTCTGTGGCACAGGGCCAGTCAGTGGCTGGACTGGGTTCCGCAGCTGGACCACAGCTGTGCTATCCACGTCCTGGAGAGTGGGGGACAGGACACTGTGGTGCAACCTCTTTGAAGAGGGCAGTACAGAAGGGAATGTGTTTGCATGTAGTGGGTGGGAGGGTGCTAGGTGGGACTGAGAACCTCCAGCTCCCCTTCCCAACCCTCTCCCTGATGGGCACCGAGGAGGGAATGTGGCCCTAATTATCCCTTTCTTGGGGGAAACTGCATGCCACGAGGTGGAATGTGCTCTGGGCTCCCGTCCTGACTCTGTCCCTCTTGTCCTGTGATAGAAGATGATGGAGGGTGTCACACTCAGTAAACATCAGCTGGCTGCGTTGTGTATGACCGCCCCTTGCTAGATATTTTTGCTGTTGCTTCCTTTAATGTCCACACAGTCTGGGTAGTTAGTATCCCCACTTTACAAATGAGGAAAATGAGGCACAGTTCAGTGACGTGCCTTGCTCACAGCCACACAACTACTAGTGGGCAGGGCTGGGACTTGAACCACATTTTCCGAGACCAAGTTGGTGTTTATTCCAGCCCCCAACACAGCCTTTAGCACACGGCAGACTTACTAGCCCTGTTACTGTGTCCTGATTGCCCAAGATGGAGACACTGCCCCTCCTCTGTCTCATTGCCAATTGGGGTGCCAGGTATTTGGTGGAGTATAGTTGAAAGAGAAAGGGCTTGCGTTACATCACGGAGGCCCGATTTGCATCTTGGCTGTGTTGCTGTGTGACTCTGGGCAAATCCTTTGGGTTCTGGGAGCCTCCAGTTCTGTGTAAACCTGGAAAGACAGGTCTTACTCACCACTGGGGGAGGGGATTCCTGAACACCTTCTACCCCGTGATCTCCTGGCTCTCAACCGACCTTGCCTAACACCTCCTGCTCAGTCACAGCCAGGGGCAGGTGAGGGGAGCATCAGAGGGTGTCATTACTGTTCTGAGTGAATAGCAGCTTCTGTGAGTAAAGCAATTTAATGCTACCAAGACCACACCCCAATTAATGCAAATCCCACTATTTCCTCCAATTCACAAATGAGGAAACCAATGCACAGAGCTGTTAATCAACTCACTTAAGCCCCACAGACTTTCACCCACACCGCACTCCACAGACTTTCCTCAGCCCCATCCTC